TTGGGGAAGTAAAAAATAAATAAATAAAAAATAAAACTGCAAAAACCTGTTTGGTTTTGGTCAATTCAAGATTTGGCAAAGAAATGATAATGAAATGATCAAAGTTACTTTTATATTTCATAAAAGAGAAATTTTTCCAGTATAAAAGAATTTGTTAGAAAGGAAGAAATAACAGGCGTAAGGAACTGTGCCTTGTAAATGAACACAGTGAATGCTTGAGCGCAAGATCCAGGACCTGGACTGTGGGTTGAAATCCAGTTCCTCCTTTCCCAGGTGTGTGTCCTTGGACAAGTTACTTGACTCCTCTGTGCTCCAGTTTCTTCATCTACAGAATGCAAATAACAAGAGCACCTTCCTCACAGGACTGTCAGGAGGATTGTGTGTTCATGGAGGCCCTGGCTCTCGAACATGCTCACATGCTCTCTTCGTCTCTCTGTCTCGTCACTGTCTCTGTCTCTCTGTGTCTCTTACATATATATATATGGAAGTGTAATCTACCATTATTGTCTTCTCATCATCTCCATCAAAGCTCAGGAGTCCAATACCACTGGTGTTCAAAACCCCTCTCCGCGCCCCACTTGCTGTGGGACCCAGAGAAAGTACATTTAGCCTCTCTTGCCTGAGTTTATTTGTAAAGTGGGGAGAGTAAAGTACCTGCCTGTTAGGGTTGCTGTGAGAACCAATGAGATCAGGTTGGTCATGTGCTCAGCACAGGGCTTGGCACACAGTGATGCTCACAGCAGAGGTAGTGGGGAGGTATTGAGGGCTGCTACCATGGTGGTGGGTTCTGTTTTTCTTTAGGTCTCTTTTGAACCAGAAGGAAGTTTAGGGGCGTATGGAAAGTGAACTAACAATGAGGGTTTTGCTGTCCACTTCTGATGGAGTAAGGAAGTTGAGGATCAGTGATCATCATAATAGTTTTTGGTTTATATTGCTTTATAGTTTTGAAGCTCTTTACATGTATGTTCATTCCTTGATACAGCAGTTCTGTGACGTAGTAGACAGAAGACCTGTCCTCATCACTGCTGTTTACCAGTGTCATAGTCCCTGTATTTATAGTGGATTTCAGCAACTAATTCTATAGATATTACACTTCACTCTTGATCTAGCTGTTCTTGAGTACTTAGTGTTTTAGGTAGATGCTATGTCCAGTACTTTGGACTTAAAGTTCTTTTTTTTTTTTAAGATTTTATTTATTTATTTGAAAGAGAAAGAGAATGAGAGGGGGGGAGGGTCAGAGGGAGAAGCAGACTCCCCACTGAGCAGGGAACCTGATGTGGGACTCCAGGATCATGACCTGAGCCGAAGGCAGTTGCTTAACCAACTGAGCCACCCAGGCGCCCTGGACTTAAAGTTCTTTGTCCTTTTCTTTACTCCCTATGAGCAACCCATTCAAGTGGCCATATCTTGGATTTTGTATCCCCAAGAATTATTCCACCTCTAAATTCTTTTATTTTAAGCAGGGTTTGAACTCACGACCCAGAGATCAAGACCTGAGCTGAGATCAAGAGTCAGATGCTCAACAGACTGAGCTACCCAGGCATCCCAAGTACTACTTCTCTTTCTTATTTTCCTAGGATATTTACATTAAATTTTTTGGTTATATGAATATTCTCTATTAACAGTCTATGCCTATATATATAATATTCAAAATGAGCATTACAGTCTACTATGATTGGGGTTTTTTTTTTGCTTTTTGTTTTTTGTGATGATAATAATTGTCTTGGTTGGGGCACCTGGGCGGCTCAGTCGGTTAAGCAACTGCCTTCGGCTCAAGTCATGATCCCAGAGTCCTGGGTTCGAGCCCCACATCAGGCTCCCTGCTCTGCAGGAAGCCTGCTTCTCCCTCTACCTCTGTCTGCCGCTCTGCCTACTTGTGCTCTCTCTCTCTCTCTCTGTTAAATAAATAAATAAAAATCTTAAAAAAAATAATAATTGTCTTGGTTTTCATGTTTTTCTCTCTCTTTGTAAGCCTCTTGTCTGAAATCAATGTCTCCTGCCTTTCTTCTGGCTTTAGCTCTGGATAGTCACTAACCCTTTGTAATTGCTAAATCCAGTGGAGTCTTCCAGCCCTAAACTTCTATAGGTGTGCTCTTCTTGTTACTTCCTCTTCCTTTGGTTTCCATGACATCACTTTATCCCGTCTTTCTGAGCCCTCCTTTTTAGGCTTACTTATGCATAGACCCCTGTTTATCTTCCCTTAAGTGTAGTGTTCCTTAGGATTCTATCTGTAATCTGATTCTTACCCAACAGAGTCTCTTTAGGCAATATCTGCCATGGCCATGAATGACTTGTGTTATCTGTTCCTCCTTATAAAACTTTCTTCTAATCTCATTTAACTGGCCATTGAACATACAGATAGAGAGTATGAAAACATTTGTCAGTGCTTCCACTCCTGTTCAAGGTCCCATTCTCTTCTTGTGACATATGCATATGAATTGTGTAGAGGCTTTGGTATCTGCCTGTCTAAAGTTCCCTTCGCTCTAACAGCTCCTGTTCACATAGACAAGCCACCTCCTTACCCTTTTACTGTTCCATTCCCTTCACACACCACCAAATACACACACACATACACTCTCTTCTCTAACTTTTCCCCCCTCAAACACCTGCACTGCCTCTCTCCATTTTTATTGGCAAGAAAGCTAAAAGTTTTCTCTCCCCCATCTCTTCCTATAGGAGGAGGATGTTGGGCCAATTGTCAGATCCCAGAGAAAGCAAAGTATTTTACTAATTTAGTATGCTTTATTTGTACTTGATAGTAACTATTTTAGTAGGCCATCCCTTTTAAAACGTGTTAATCCTTGAAATGTTTAAAGAATGATCACTTGACAGCAGTGCATATGCATGCAGTCTCTTCTGCATTGTTACTTTTAGATTTAAAACCACGAATGGGATTGTAATAAGAATTTTATTTTCAGAATTAAAACTAAACATGTGGGGTTGTAATGTGAATTTATAGGCAGAGATAAGGTATCTTGTCTAAACAAGAAAGAAAAAACACAATTGAATGTTCTCTTTTCCACTTTTTCTGCTGTATGTAGTTAGGACCATGAGTCTGAGCTTACATTCCTAAAAGCTACAGGTGTCAATCAAATCATTCAGAGAGAGCACTCAGAATGAGAAGAGAGAAACATCAAGCCTGTAAAAGAAGAACCCTCCCAGAAGCCTTAAAAAGGGAGCCCATGTGAATCGGCATGTGATTCTAGAGAGTGGTTCAGCATGGCTTGATGTTTATTTTTAAGAAGTGTAAAGGTGATACTCCAACAGGTCTCAAGGTTTTTCACTGTCACAGTCATTGATGATGGTGATGGTAGCCCTTTGTTTTTTGTTATTATTTGTTTTTTTTCTAGCTTACCAGTTTGTTCTGTGCATTTTTTAAGGTCCTTAAAATTCTGGTCAGGGCAGTGGTTGACGGGATGACCGATCGAAGTGGAGATGTTGCAACTGGCCTCAAAGGGAAGCTGCAGGAGCTACTTGGCAGAGTGACTTCAAGAGTGACGAATGATGGAGAAATCTGGAGGCTGTATGCCGAAGTGTATGGAAATGGGCAGAGCAAAAAGCCTGATGAAAATGAAAAGGTAAGTCTTTCAGTTCTCCCGGGTGCTTGCCTTTTGTTTGAATTGTGTGTAGTGGATCTGCTTCTTTGATGGTTGGGGGAAGAGTTAAATAGCTTGAAATGGAAGATTGATATGCTCAGGTTTTCTATTTTGATTCAGAATCTTTAACATAAGCACTTTGAATTGTGGGCAGGTTAAGACTTGTAAGCATTCATTTTTTTTCTTTCTATGAATTTTTCTTACATAATTTTCTATGTTTCCTGCAAAAGGGTCTCTCCAGCCTGCTCCCCCACTGGAGCTGCTGTGAGCAGCTGCTCCCATTATTTACCCCCAGCCCTTTCTGCAGGCTCCTTGCCGAAGACTCAGGTAGATGGGGCCCAGGGACAAAGACGGTTTAGATCTGAGGTAGGGGCCATGGAAGGGAAAAAGAAAAAGGCACTAGATAAGAACATTGGAGGAGAGCTTGTAAGTCTAAACGCAAAATGCTTTACAGAGGTTGCCCTGCACCTTTCTCAAAAGTGCATTAGAACACCAGTTACACTCAAGTTATGCCTTTGGCCTCTTAGAACTCGAAGGAGCCCCCAGAGTTTCCAAGATTGAAATAATTGTTTTCTGTTCTTTTCAAAACATCCACAACAAGTCACATGTACTCCTTGCGTGATTTTGGAATTTGCTGCAGTACAGCTAATCTGTGGGATTCCCAGCCGTCTCTCCTCCCTCAGTCCACCCGGCTGGCTTCTACCATTGCTTGTCAACCCAGAGAGCACGTACGCACACGCACGCATGCACATGCTCCTACTTTCTGTCCTTCTGTTTCTTCTTGAATTATGTCCTCTTGCGTATATGGAATCCAGGGTAGTCTGAATTCTCTGATCGGTGACTTCTCCCTCAAGAATCTGCAAGGATGGGGCTGGGAAAGAGTATTTTAAACTTCTGTGAGTATACACACCTCTCGGTAATTCTGTAGGTGTCATCAAGTTCATGCCTCATTCTCTAAACCGGGCTCTTAAGCTGATGGCTACAGATGCCGAGGAAAGATGTGTGCCCTTCTTCTAGATTTTCAAACCTGGCATTTCTGTTTTTCTCTTTGGAGGGAAGTGTCTCTATCCAGATACATCCATTTGATTGCTTTTAATTGCTTATTGCTGTTGGCTGTGCATCTGTACCCCTTCTTTGATGAGAATAATAAAGACCGTGCTGCATGACACAGATGCTCGTTGTTCAAGTTGGAATTAGTTCCACATGACTTCTAGGAAACCAAGTTTGAAATGTGCATTCTACTTGTTATTCTGAACATTGTTCTTTTTCTGTCCTCAGGCGTTCCAGTATCTCTCTAAGGCATACAAGTGTGACACACAGTCCAGTTGTTGGGAGAAAGATATGACATCATTTAAGGAAGTGGTGCACAGAGCCTTAGAACTTGCACATGGTATTTGATGTAATGTTCGCTATCCCTGCCACGTTTTAATGTATTTGTACTGAAAAAGAATTTGTCAAAAGTGAAGTTCCATTACAAATAAGTTCAGATTATTTCCTTCTATGGAAATTGTCATATTTCATGCAGCAAATCTTTATAAGACCAGCTGCTAGGTAGTAAGCACTTTGGAGCAATAGTAGCAAATAGAGGCCGGAGCGGTAGGAAGGATAGAGGCTTCAAAACCATTGGAGTAAGTGATGGGTATCAGGAGCTTTCAGGACGCGGAGTACCTTTCCAGCTGTGTCTGACCTTTAAGCACACAAGGTCTGTTGGTGTTGATTGTGTAGTACTAAGGAAATCTGTTAACATTTCCTGACTTATAACCTTCCTTTATAAATGAAAATATTTTTTCTCAAAAATACATAGATTACTGGAGAACACAGAATGTACAAAGAGCTGTGGCATATGCAAAATAAATAAAAAATATAATCCCATCCCTGCCTTTGGGAAATTTAGTGGGTGATATTTGAGGGGAGAGATAACCTTACATATAAGGTTGCATGCCTGTTGGGTATATTCCAGATAAAGGCCCCTTTTCATTATTTGCATTGATGAAAAAATATACCAGTTAAATTTAATAGTGCATTTTTATATTTAGAATTGAGTATAGATGTGTGATGCCCTGGATATGCAGTTCAAATAAAATAATGAAGCCACAGTATTAAGAACTGAAGCACAGAGACTATGAACCTATCCTAAAGTCCTCCTCTAACTTTTTTGGCAACTAATAGTTACAGTAATTGGGGAGCCAACGAGGGACCATAAAAAGGGCAGACCCTTGAAATCAGGGAGACCTAAACTCCAGGACCGTCTCTGCCAGGTCCTTTCTAGGTGGTGGCGGGTAAATCACTTAACTCCTCTGAGCCTTAGTTCCCTCATCAGTAAAATGGGGGTAATGCCTACCTTCTTGTTAGGAAGAATAAATGAAAACACATTTAAACACTTAGGAGTATCTTGCACATGGTTGAAATGTGAATCCCTGACCTCACCCCAGCCCTGTTCCTTCTGGGGTGGAGGAGCTGAGCTGTCTGATAAGGCATTCAAAACTAAAAAGAGAAAAATGAAGAATAAGAGTAAAGGTTAACGTGTCTCTAAAGAAGTCACAGAACATTCAAACAGTTTAGAAATGGGCTTAGTAGTTGATAATTCTACTTACAGTCTTTGATATCACTGACAAGAAGAATATAAATATCCAGTTATCTGGGCCGCCTACCCCTTGACAGATCAGGGAGACATGCTGAACTCTCTGTAGCTGAAATACAGAGTAGATGAGTTGGAGGTCATTGCCGATAGACCCATGGAATGTGGCTGCAGTTCATGTGGCTTGTGCTGGCCTCATGGTGGGTGGGCTCAGAGGGAGTGCAGTCCTGATGCCTTTGACCTTTGTGAATATAGTACCATGTTTGAGGAAACCCATACCTAGGTGTATTATGTACATAATTACAGCAAGGTGTAATCTCCTTGGAAGAATTTATCTTATCTACTTGAGATTGCCAACTCTAAACATTTCTGTGAACAGCTAACTTTCTAACAGTCAAAGCCAAGATATTTTCTGTAGTCACTAAGTGATGCTATTAAACCTGCCAAATATAAATGCACAGGTTAAAGAAATAAGTACTGCAGGAAGAAAATCTTCACTTAGTATCTTAAAGTCGTTTTTAAGCTATTTGGGGCACCGTTTTTCATCAGGGCAATACTGGGAGAAAAACAAGCATCTATTCTTTTAAGTTTCCTCTGACTTTAATGAATTAGGTATTGGTGCTCCTACAACAATTTAAGCATCTGTGAGTGGATGCTCAGCTTTAGTTCCTGGTGATATTTTAGATTTATGAAGATAAAACTTTACCTTTTCTTTGTTGCTTTTGTAGACCAGTGCTCAGTTGAGGAATGAACTGGGTTTCTTTGTTATTCTATTCTTTTTTTTATCTTTCTCCCCACCACTGTTGTCTATCTTGCTCAATTCTGAAAAAGAAAATAAAACATTAAGAAAAAAATCTACACACATCTACACACACACACACACACACACACACACACACACACACACACACACACCCTTCCACATGATTTACTCCCTTTTGGGTTGCTATTTTTAAGAGTAGCCATGTACTTGACAGGACAACTGCAATGTCTCTCCATAGGGCTTGAGACCTTTCTGTAACAATGTTGTCATTGTGTAGGTACACAAGGTATTATCTGGGGTCTATTCATTTACAATTTCTGCTCTTCTGTTTTCTGGGAAAGGGTAGGCAAAAGCTGGTTCCTTCTTTGCCATCCAGGGACTTTCAAAATAATAGTTATGCATTTTAACTATAGTCTGCCTGGAGGAAGCACTGCTATCTTGGATTTCCTGATGATTTGGAACAGCATTTTATTTCTCTCCCTTTCTAGAACTCTTTGTCTCTAGTGCTTTTTGGAAATGGGATTAAGCAAGGGGTGTAATAGTGTTTTTGTCTTTTTGCTCTATTTTTTTTTATTTTTTCCTGAATGAAAATAAGAATTTAAAAAAAAAAGAAGCTGTTTCTGATACGTTCCTAGGTATTTAACAGCCCAAATACCTCAGCCATGGTAGTATAGTGTTCTTCTCCTAAGGCACACAGACATCAGAATCCTCACTATCTCCAGGTTGACTGTGCTCTTTGAAAACGAGTTGCACATTGTTGATTACCATGCATTGTTTCAACCCTTAGCTGAGAAATGTCAAAGTCTAATAAATTATTTTGAAATGAGAATGTCAAACTTGGTTCTCACCAGCCATGGAAGATATTAAATAATGATAAAACGATTTTCCAGGCACAGGCAATCCCCACCAATTGATGAGAGTTTGCATGCAAGAAGGACACCTATTTTCCATTCCTGGTCTAAGATCTAGGGCACTGAGTGACTTTCATCGTTGCACTGTTTAGTGTAGTTTTAAAATAGGATCTGGTTATCGGTCTGCTTTGTGGCAAGCGTAATTTAGAAGAACAAAACCAAAAACAAACCATGGAGAGATATCAGGCATTGTATTTTTACCAAGCTCTTCCCTTGTTCTTATAAAGCATTAATAGCCAGGCCTTCTGCTAGGGAGGATTACCCCTCTTGATAATTTCACGTTTTAGGAAGATGGGCTCCCTGGCTCACTGGACACAGCGTTGTCACGCATGAGTGGCGTTGTTCTCTCCCACTCCCTGCTGATGCCAAGCGCCGCCCAGCAACCTGAGAGCCCGGGTGTGGTCACCGCTGAACGCAAGCACATAGGTTGTTGAAATCACTTCTTCCAGAATGGGGACGTAAACCCGGAGTAGGAAAATGCAGTTAGAATTGAGCTGTAAATACCTGGATGTTGCTTCACTGGACTGGTGTCATGGGCCACTGTGAGCCCCCGTTAGGGACCTGGTGCTCCGGGAGGCTACACTAAAGATCTGCTACATCTGGTTTTGCCCTCTGTGGGCACCTTGTGTTCAGTTAGATTTTGTCTCTTTTTGTCTAATTTCACAGTGTGTGTGTGTATGTGTGTGTGTTTAGGGTCTCTTCCCAGTGATCTGTAACTTACCAAAAATCACCTATTTCCCCTCAGAATTCTCCATTTAGCAATAAGCGTGAAGAAGGATATGGGGGAAATTATGCACATAATTGTTGTCCTTTTGCCAAAACAAAATCTTTCCATGTGGGAATATTTCTAAAGTCTGTACTATAAAATCCTAATTAAGTAATTGTTTTTGGCACTTGTAAATTATCGTTACCAGTATTTAACGCATGTTTTCTTCCATACTTATGTTTCAGTGGCTATAAAACACAGTAAAAACAAATCCAGTCCCCAGGAGGCTGTACAGGTGCTTTCTTCAGTTCGACTCAATTTACAGGGCCTGTTATCTAAAGCAAAGGTGAGAGTGATTTAAAATGTGATTTAACTCAAAGTATCATAGGAAGAAGGGTCTCTAAATCTTCTGCTCTTAAATCTTCTTGTACATCAGGGCTGATTTTAGGCCTACGTTACGTTTTGGATATCAGCCCCCAGGGTTCAGTTGGACTGGTGGGGGTATTATTGGCCCAATGGCTGGACTCCTGTGGGTAACTTGGGAGTCTTTGAAATTAATACTTATAACCCAGCCCTACTGCTTTCTTGAATTTAAATTAAAACAATGCTCTTCTTCTTGTCACTTTTTCCAAAGTGTGACATATATGCCACTGACAGCACGTGGCTGAACTTTTGATTTTAATGTGTATTTATTTCAGCACATGTTAGAAAAACTATAACTAGCACTTCAGATCTACATTTTCCTGAATATTATTGCTTGTTTTTCATTTGCAGTAATGTAATGTTTCCTTTAAAAAAAGACTTTTATTTAAGTTTAAGAAGTTGATTTTGAAACAAATATTAAGTAGGTAGTATATGGATTTCACAGAGATTAAGGTCGGTGCGTGACTCAGGTTTGACAACTAAAACATTTACCATCAATCTACAAATGCCACCTTGTGAACTAGCGCTGGGTTGTGGATGCCTGAGAATCCCTGAGGGAACTGGTTTGGAGTCTGAACTCGGAGTGTCTACCTGTGGCAGGTCAGGCATGGGGTGGAGCCTGGGAGATCCCTACAGCCAGTGTGGATTATACCTCTGGAAGCAAACTGTAAAGGAATATAGTTTTTTTTTTAATTAATTAATTTATTTGAGAGAGAGAGAAAGCACGAGTGGGCCGAGGGAGAAGCAGGCACCCCGCTGAGCAGGGAGCCCGATGTGGGGCTCGATCCCTGGACATTGCATCATGACCTGAGCCCAACCGACTGAGCCACCCAGGTGCCCCAAGGAATATAGTTTCTAATGCAATTCAGTGCTTTCTTTTCTCATTTTTGCTTGCCTTCACTATTTAATCTTGGGTTGTAAATGAATTCTGACACTTCTGAGAGCAAGTCTATGGCAAGTGAAGTCACTTCAGGACACATGTAAAAACCTTCCCAGAGTAGGTATGCCTTTTTATTAATTGCTTGATCTTTTCTGATGAGGGCATCATTTGTGCCCCTTTACATTATTAACTTGCTTTACTATCCTTTTAATCTGCAAGCTGGACCCAGTTTCTATAATCTACCAGGAAGAACTGTATTTCCTCCCAGCTTGGTAGGATAACTTCACAATTTTGTATCTCTCAGAAGGCTGCACAGACTCTCAAAGAAAGTCAAGGTAGCAAGCTTCTCCTGTGACTTTCCTTCTCAAATCGGGAGCTAGGTTTCCTAGTTTAGTTTTGGTTAGATTACTAACCTACCCACGATTGTTTATTTCCTCAGGAGATACTCTACTAGTTCTCTTATCTCTGTGCAAAGCTTTTTCTTATAAGTTATTACTTTTACATAAATCTGTACCTGCAAACCTAAATATCTTGTCTCTGCAGGTACTGCCCATCCACCCTTTTGTGGAAGATCCCCAAACATTGAAAATGAGGCCTCAGAACATCATCTATGTTTAGATTTTGTTCTGCTTAGATCCCAACTGGGAAAATTTGCCTCCCAGCGCCTCCTTCTGAAAGCCTGTTTTGGCTAGAGTGTTTGGGAGTCTCTGATTTTGTGGTAGATCATATGCCTTTCCTATTTTTTTTTTAACAACTTGGGTTTGCTCAGCTGAATTGCGATCCCCAAAATAACTTTTTTAGAACACTTTAAAGAGTGAAAATGAAATAGGATAGATAGCTCTATTGAATAGCTTGTAATAAGCTTGGTTTGTACCAATCTCTGATCTTTTCTTGCCGGGCCAGGGAGTTCATGGACATAAACTCCTAGAGCCTAGAGACTCATCTGAGACTCCACCAGTCCATGGGCTCCTCCCATCCCGCCACCCCCCTGGCCAGTCGCTGTGCAGATTTGCTGCAGAGGGCATGAGGGCTGTTGGGGAAAATGCCGGAGAGCCTGGAGACAGGGCAGATTTTACCACTTACGCACTTTGGGACCCTCAGCAAATAATCCATTCTTTCTAAGCCTCAGTTTCTCTCTCCTTCCTCTTTAGTTTATAGGTGAGTGATGCAGATTCATGATGATTTGCAAGCACTATAATTCTTCATAAAAATAAAATATGCTATGTGAGTCTAGGTTATTTTTCTAAAAGGTGTTTACTGATCACATTGCAACGGCTCTTATGTCATTCTCTAATGAAATGCTGTGCACGGTGTGACTACATGGTAATGTGACAAATCTTACTGAACATTGATGAAGTCCTGCATTCAATGAATGTTCTTGGCTCCAAAAATCACTGTGTGAAACTCTAAGCTTGTCCCAGTGATTATACCATCACTCAAAACATCTTTGGGACTCCCTTTTTAGAATAACCATCAGAGTATTTGTCATGTCTTATTATCTATGGTCGTGATAGTAAATAGTCATATGGTAAGGGTAAACAAGTCATCTAGTCAGGCCTGGTGAAAAATATAGACAGTGAGACTTCTGGGTGGCTCAGTCGGTTAAGCGACTGACTCTTGATTTCAGCTCAGGTCATGATCTTAGGGGCCTGGGATCGAGCCCTGTGTCGGGCTCCGTGCTCAGCACGGAGTCTGCTTGAGATTCTTTCCCTCTGCCCTCCCCCCCCTCCTCCCGTTCACACACTCTCTCTCTCTAAAATTAAAAAAAAAAAGTATGTTGAGTAAATTACATTTCTGATCAACACACAAACACACACACATGCACATTCTGGTCGTAAAATCCTGAAACTCATTTTCTTGGGTGCCTATCCTGGCTCAGCGGGCAGTTCCAAATAGAGAGGCCCTCTAAAATGCCTCAGCTATGGTGGCATTATCGTAGTATGTTGCAGTGTGCCTCCCAAGGCAATTCCTTTTACAGGAAGAGGGCACATTTATTTTTATTTTAATATGCTGGGCTTCTTTGCTTTTACCAAATCTTGATAATCTTTGTGGCCTCTGAGTCCTAAGCCGTAATAATTTTCTATATAATTGG